ATTCATTTGTGAACTAGTGTTGTTTTAGAATGTTTGGCATGTTCTTTTTATTTACAATTCGTTGCGTGTTTATATTATCATCGTAGTTTAGTGGAAAGTATGTTTCTTCGTGTGTACCGTTTTTCAATTGAACCATTGCATTTGTTTTCCGTTTTCAAAACATGTTGATTCATGATATTTTTGTTGACTACTTTTGGTTCTTTGAGTTGTTTGGCCTTGTTTGAGGACAAAGAAGTTCAAGTTGGGGAGAGTTTGATAAGTGCAAGTTGTAGCTATTTTTGTATATATTTTATGTTGCACTTATTGACTTTTTGTTGTTAATATCGGTTGAATAAACCCGAATTTTGTGTAAATACGTTTAGTTTGTGTTTATTTATAATTTTGTGTACATAGTGTACCATTTGATGTTTTTCCATTTATTTTGTAGGTATTTGTTGCATTTTGGAGCATTGAGGAATAAGGTGTCGAAGGCACGACCCTGAATGTGCATTTTCAGAATAAAATACCAGTTTTGGAAAGTTATGTCCAAGAAAGCCCGCTTAGTGCGCAGAAGGCTGCTTAGCGCGAGTGCGCTCAACATATTTTGTAGCACGCTGCTTGCGTTTTGAAATTTTGGCAGAACCAAAGTTTTGGAGCACGCTTAGCGCGGTTTAGGCCAGTTTAGTGTGTAAATATCGCACAACCTGGTTAGCAAGGTGAGCCAGCTAAGCGTGTTCGGCTAAGATTTGTTTTATAAATTTCATTTCAACTTATTTTTAGGTTATGGTTTTAGGATTAGCTTAGATAACAACTATGGAGCTTGCATACGGATGATCCGGGGTGGATTTCTCTTTGATCTGCACTAACAAACCAGTAGATTTTCGGTTCATTTCTATTTTTCTTTGTGTATTCTCTATTGGTTAGGTTTGTATATGTATTTTCTTTGAACTCATGTATATTTTTCGCCCTTGGCGTTATATAAAACTTTCACTACAAATCTTTATCGATTATTATCCTTGATTTTTTTCTGTGCTAGGGATTTGAATTGCTATAGACATATACTGCCTGAATTCTTATCTAGGATGATTATCTAATAGTGTATGAATTCTAGAGATAGATTTAGCGTTGTTATTCAATTAGGGTGTCTGTGATTAATGCCTTTGTGTTGTTTGTGTCGCTCTGATAGATCATCGATGCAAGCGAGCACAATTGACTTTTGTGTTGTTGAGGTGGTCGAGAGATTGTTGCCGAGGTGATGCAGTCTTCCTTTCAATTTGGGTTAGAAATGACTTAGGTTATGAGTCACACGTGATGACATTGATGAATATTGTAGTTATAGTATAATAGGTCGATAGGTTTAAGTCTGTGAGAAGTAGTATATATCCATGCTTGATAAGTTATTCCTTCTTCCTTTTTATACATTTATTTTCTGTTGATACTTTTCCTTACAACCCATTTATACCCAAACTCATCAACAAGATATTTGTCAAACGGTATTTCAATACACCAATCTATGTGGACACAATACGATATAAGCTAAATATCACCCGGTAAACTAATAACCTACTTTTTACTTGGTGCTCCGCTTCCAGTAGAGGCCCTCCTCAAATTCCTCTTCAATTACACTTAACAATTGGAGCAAACACTAAACACAAGTAGAGAACAAAACAACTAGAAGCTATACATCAAAACATGCAAGACTCAATTCTTAAAAACTCATGAGAATTGACACACAATATGTTCAATGCTTAAAATCTTATGAGCATCTCACAGAGAACTTACAACCCAACAAATAAGGATTCTAAAACCCTAACACAAATACATAGTTAAGTTCCAACTAATACTAGGTATACACGAGTCTACTTATAACTTTATTCTTGACTGGGTTGGGCTTCAAAACCTCAGCAGTGAGGTTGCACAAAGTCTGCAAAAATCCTCCAAGAAAATAGTTCTTCAATCATTAGTTTACTAATAAATCTCCATATTTAGAAACTAATTAAATCTTTGAAAAACAATCAAAGAATATTCTGAATTATCAATCTTGGATGCCACATAAGCTAACTGAGTAATCCCTGAATATACAGTAGCTAAAAATCAGCTGATCCACAACTGTCAGCTTGCTGCAGACACGATATCCTAACTCCTTGTTGGGACATCTTACTCAACATGTTGAAACAGAATGTTGGAACATCTTGTTCAACATGTTGTTGCTAAAATGGTTTTACCAAAATGTAAACCAACCATAATTTCAGAAAAATAACAAAGAGTTTTATCCGTCTTTACAAACCCTCTCTTCAAATCAGAAGCAAGAGACCAAGGCATGGTTCTTAACTTAGGCTTTAATTCTTAAGAAGTGTGAGTTGAAATTCTTGCACGTGTTCATGAATTTAGAGATTTTTATGTAGATTTTAGTTTTACAGATTTTAGATTATACTTTATTTATGTTTTTGTTATAAAATTATGATTTGGATGGATAAGGAGGATTATACCTAAGTGAGAAATGAGAGTTGGGGAAATTCGGCTATGTAAAGTGTAAAATGGTGTTCAAGAATTCTAGAGGCGACTGAAGAGTTCCAGGGGAGAGATGGGGAGAGCCTAGGACGACTAGGGAGTTTATAGGGAAACTTGGGAGTCCCTTGGAGACTAGGGAGTGCTTTTAGCGACCTGGGAATCCCTAGGGCACCAGGAAGTCCATATGGCGACCTAGGAATGCCTTTGGAGTTCCAGATGCGCCTGGAGAGTGTCAGGGGCATTAGGGGAGTGCTTAGGGCAACTAGGGAGTGAAAATGGTTCCATGAGGTTATTACGGGGAACCTAGATGGTGCTTGTTTGCACTAACTTAACTAATACCTTAGTTATGACCTTACAATAGTTTTATTTATACAATCATAAGTTCGGATGAGAGAGTCAGTAGGTACTAAAAAATACGTATATGGAGTGACATATCTCCCTGCCGAATTATGGGGGACTGTTGCAGTTGTGATATATGGATTAATATAGGTGGATGGGATAACATTTTATATCTCCATAGTGTATGGCATTGATTTCATCTTAAATTTCCTTGGAGATTTTAAACATCTATGGTATTTTATAACTCTCTTATTGAAAGTGGTAGTAGGTTACAGTTTATGAATCGGGCCATATAAAGGAATATGCGAAGTGGATGCTTAATGCTTCTTAGTTATTTATCCTTCCGAGGTGTGTATTGCTTTTGATGTATTGATACTTTGATGTATTTTTGACATACACTTGATCTATGTACTATTATCATGTATCTGTACCAACTAAGATGATATCTTAAATTGATATTCTAGATAATTTGATTTGATGTATTACACTTAGAAATTTGTTATTTTGGTTAAGAGTTAACCCATTTAAAAAAAATCTTGTTTGTATTTGGGATTTGTCTTAGTCTTCGTTTGCTTCATGAGCTATGCCACCTAAAAAGCACTTTTTTGGTTCGTGAAGATTAACTCGTAAAAATCTTCACGACAGTTCTTGAGCTCAATCCGATTAAAATATCTATTGTTTGAGAACAACCTGGTGTAAAATCTCTCTTGGATTTTGAGTTCACCTTGGTGCAAAATCTCAATAGGTTTGAGATCAACCAAGTAAAAAATATGGTTTAGTTCGTGGTCATCATGTCTCAAACACCAGTTCGATTCAGAGGATAGTCAACTCAAAACTCCATCTTGGTTTTAGATCAGCTATGTAAAATCTCAGTTTGGTGTGAAGACTAACCGCTTCTTGCCATATTGGTTGTTTGATTAAAAGTTAGTCTGAAACTGCATTTCATTGTATCTGGGGGTTCATGGGCATATCATTCTAAAAGCTCTCAAGCACGAGAGATACTCTCAAGAATAATTCTTGAGGATATTACTGGGTTTTTTTGGCCGAACTTGTATAATTTCGTAGTGTTATTTCTCTTCCCTATATCTCTATTTTTGTAGTTATTTTTCTTTACTTTGAATTTTCACTGCATATTTTATCAACTATTTTTAAAATGATTTTAAACTTTGATTTCTCAAATAATTTTATTTTAAATTATCGATTTTCAAACTTCCACAATTCACTCCCTGTTGTGTATGCTGTCATATGTCCAACAAATTCATTCTCATGTTTCAATTTTTGATTTTTTTTGTTGTTGACCGGGAGCGTCTCCCTATTAGGTGCCATCACTTTTAGGGGTGTGCTCTATATCTAGTTGACCTCCTCTATTTGTTGCAAGTGGTCGAGTTTACCTCCTTTCGACTTTTTCCCACCGGTGATGTGTTGCTTTTGTCTCTTTTCTCGCCTTTGGCCTTTGTTTTAGATGTTTCTTGTCTATTGTTTTTTGAGCACCGTTCGTGTTTTCAGGTATATCACGTACTCTATAAAAAATGATTTTTAAAAAAATATTAAAAATTTCTTTATAGTTTATTAAAAATCTTTTTTTGAAACCCTCGTTACATCTAGTTTCCAAACTCTCATACAAAATCTAAAAATCTCACATGAGAGACACAAACTCTTAAAATATTAATATGTAATGAATGATTATACTTAAAAGTGATTAACTATTTTAGTAGAACTAAGAACTTTTTTCTAATATTAATAGCGTTGAGGTTAATTTATATATGTCAAATAGGGTGTGGGTTTAGGAGCTAAGGTGGAGTAGAAATTTTTGTTTGGTGGAAACAGAAGTTGTTTGTCCTTTTGCTTACGATTATTAACTGGGATGTGTTATCCATGGAAGAAGACTCATGGTCTTGGAAGACCATGCAATGCATGAGGTATTTATATGAGAAGTACAAGAATAGGCATGAAAAAACGAGTTATGGAAATGAGTGGAAGAATCTGGTTTAGTCTGTACAAGTTTCAAAATCTAACACAAAATCAAAAAGTTTTAAGCCAAAAAGACATCAAAGAGATTCAATATTTAAATTACAATCAAGCAAACTCACTCTACATTTATATATTACCAGCCAGTTAGAAAGTGCAAATATGAATATATCAGTTACTGTAAATAGGTATGCAGATTGTATTTAACCAGAACAACAACTAAATGATGGATTCATTTTGGAAAATTTCCTTCTTAGCTCAGATAGATCCACTACACTCTTGGAATCAATAACCTGTACATCATCAATTCATGCTCAATTATTAAAGAGAAAACTCAAAATTAATAAGAGTATAAAAGTTTTGACAAATAAAAAAAAAAAGGTTTATAATATATATAATCTGTAACTGTGAGTAAGTACCTCACACTGCATACTATGGAGTAATCTTCCATTGACTTGAGTTGAAAAGCAGCTAACAACATCAAGTCCCTCTTTCTGAAGTTGTTCCAGCAACTTAGATAGTGGTACCCCTTCTTCTCTAGTGGTGATTTCAATTCCCACAGTAGTATTATTCTTATGGATACTGAAACTACATGATGCATGGCTTTTGAGGCTTGAAAGATTATACAGTTTTTTTAGTTCATCCCTTTTTTCAGTTAGTTCTTTTATATTCTTCTTCAAGTGGTTTATATAATTCACTCCCGTATTCATTTGATCAGATATAGAACGTTTTCCCTGAAACAACAGTACAAAGAACAGTAACCCTAAATTACGTTATTCAAGAAAACCATACCCTAGAAAACTTTAATTATTAAAATAGATATAATACTTTACCTTGATGAATTCAAGAGGGAGAAGGGATCTAAGAGAATCATGAAGGGTAGCCATTTCTTGTCTCCTTTGCTTCTCAACCTCCTTATGAATCATTTTCTTCTTATTATCTTTGATAGAATTATGATTACTACCATGGTTTGTAGTATGATCTGCTGGAGTATAAAATAATTTCTTTGGTGACCGGCTGCTACACAATTTTTTATTAGAAAAATCAAAAACAAGAGAATCACAATCATCAAGAATCAGATCTTCGGAGATATTGTGATTTTGTGGGTGGTGGTTGAGACTATTAGATAAGGGGATCGCCAGTTCATTGCATCGTTGTAAAGGAAACATACTTGGTTTGGTCAGCTCAAAGACTTCTCAAATTATTGGCATAGGAGATTGAGTTTCGGGGTAAGATATGTTAACTAAAGGAGATAGTGAGGGCTTTGGTTATAAGTTTATAATAATACAAAGCAAAGATTCTTCCATATGAACCCCATTCACCCATTAAAAGTGAAAGTTATATATATATATATATATATATATATATATATATATATATATATATATATATATATATATATATATATATATATATATATATATATATATATATATATATATATATATATATATATATATATATATATATATATATATATATATGTATATATATATATATATATATATATATATATATATATATATATATATATATATATAAACACATCTATTTAAATTATAAATAGAGTAGATTCTACGATATCATCAAAATACATTCCAGCTACTTAAAAAAAACCTCCCCTCTAACATTTTTTGAAGAAAATTCTTCAATCAAGTTTTCATATCGTATATTCTACGACAAATCATTCTCAATTACTTTTAACATTAATCTATTAAGCCTTTCTTATAATATGGTAGATAGCAAGTAAGACCTTAACAACTTCAATTTTGATACACTTCTTTCTGCAAAGACAATTGTCATAGGAATAATTAATAAAATTCTATATGTAATAATTATATAGGAAAAAAATTTATGTCTTTCAAAAATCTCAATATATCAATAGATTCAATATTTCCTACATGCAACATATCTCTTAGTAACCTTAACTATACATCTAATTATTTTCCATAATATCACATTGGTCATTATGTTTCAATGTCTCTTCAAAATGATTACAACAAGACTCTAAAGTTGCATTGTTAAGTGATTGTAAAATTTGAGAAGTAAACAAGAAACTAAAAACACTTTCATATTGTTGGTATTACTCAATCTCTTATTAAGAGATACAATAGCTTGATCAGTAAGGTAAATAAAATAATTAACTCTAAAATATTCCTCTTCAGATAGCTCATCTGATGGGGTATTCAAATTATCATCAAACTTTTAAATTCGAATTATAGGCCTTTGAGAAAATATTGGATCAATATTTATTTCAATGGCAATTTTTATAGCATAATTCAAAGCATTTATAAAACCAGTTTCTCTATATTTCTTAAAAAATAAAATGAACCTCGTTATTTTTATTTCATAGCAACTTCAATAACCATATCCCTTGATTATAAGAGCTTGCTAACTACATTAATTATGAATAATATTTCAAACCAAATATTTATAGCCATTAAAAACTCAAAATCACCAAAGTCATTTGTTGCTAAGGATTTAGCTTCACTTCTTATTTTAGAATCAAGATCCTTTTATGACACTTCAAGTAAAATTTCTCTAAAATTTGACATTTAAATTTGAATAGCTTTGACACTATCTATATGACTCTCCCAACGAGTAGATACTAATGATTTTGGAGTCAACCATTTTCCATTATCTTTTAAAAGTTGTCATCTCTTAGTAGAATTAGCAAAAATAGTAAATGCATTGCACAACTCCAAAAAAATCTTTAGCTTTAGTACAAGAGTTAGCCATATTACACAATATCAAATTAAGACCATGACAAACACAAGGAATATAAAAGGATGTTGGATTTATGTCTAGAAATTTCATTTGTACACCTTAATGTTTTCCTTTCATATACAAGCCATTATCATAATCTTGTCCACACACATCTAATATGTCAAGATCAAGATTTTCAATTCATCTTTTAAAACATCAAAAATTCGTTGAGCAGTTGTATCATTCACGTTAAAAAAATCCTAAAAAATATTCTTTAACTTTAACAAAACTTGAAGAAACATCCACATATCGTTTTATCAAAGCCATTTTCTCTTGGTGACTAACCACTACAAAAAAGAAGCTTATTTGCCACGTGAAAATCACGTGGCAAACATCAAAATCACGTGGCAAAACAAAATTAGCGATGTGGTGACTTATGTCGCTGGGGAGCCAGTGGCAAGCCAGTAGCGACGTGATTCCCACGTCACAAAGTTGTGACGTGGTATTCACGTCGCAACATATTTGTTGCAGGGAATATAATAGCAGCTTTATTAGCGACGTGAGAATCATGTCACTAATTTGTGACATGATTCCCACATCGCTACAGGTGACGTTTTTATTTTTTTTAAAATTGTTTAGTAATTATTTTTTATATTAATTAATTAATGTAATAAAATTTAAATAATAAAATTTATATAATAAAATTTATATAATAAAATTTATATAATAAAATTTATATAATAAAATTTATATAATAAAATTTATATATTAAAATTATTAGAATAATAGTATTTTATTTTATATTTCGAATAATAGAATTTTATAAAATAAATTCATATAATAAAATGTTATATAATTTAATAATTTAAAATGATAAAAATAAATATCTTACATAAATGCAAATATAAAAACGAAATAAAAAAAATGTTTTCACGGGGCATCTTCACCCGGATAATTATCAAGATCAAAGTCATCAATTCCGTCATCATCCGGCTGTGTATGATCAGGAACATTTTGATTTCGACCATCTTGCATAAACTGTCTCATCTGCTCCTCCATATCAGATTGCATCTTCCTCATGATCTCTAACTGACGCTCCTGCTCTTGCCTCATTGTCGTCATTTGGGCCTCCATTTCGCGTCTCACTTCACTGGCCGCCAATTGTCGTACTGTTTCAAGTTGAACCTGTGTCAGGTTCGGTTGACGTGACCCCCCTTCTCCATCTCTAAGTCTTTGAAACAGATTACGATCACCAACTCTCAAGCCGGCGGCCAAATTTCCTCCCGCAAAAAAGCAACCATTAGGTGCTTTTCCATTAACAACCTCATTCCAAATATAGAAATCAACATCACCATTAAGCGGCTCCCCTTCTGCTGGCCTATATTGCGGATTGTGTTCCAGAAAACGTGCTAGTAATGTCTGATAATCATCCTACACATACATTAAATAATACAATTAAAAAAAAATTAAAACATTTATATATTAAATTATACTAAATTCAAATATATTAAAAATTTGTCACGTGATTTTCACAAATCAACTTATGAATTGCCACGTGATTTTCCCGTGGCAATGTATCAGTTGCCACATGAAAATCAGTCACCTGGCAATTTATCAGTTGCCACATGATAATCACGCCACAACTTATAGATTGCCACATGGAAATAACGTCACTATTTTTGTTATTAACTTAAAAAAAAACATAAGTTAAATTACTTATAAAAGCTTTCTTGGTGCGGTCGTCGACAAAACCTCCCGATTTCTTTGTCCGAGTCCTCGTAATCAACTCAATGATCAATGGTGGTCTCCCCATCTCCTTAGTCTAAACAATAAAGTTAAAAATAATTAGTAAAAAATATTATGAATAAAAATATATATAACTTAAAAAATTAGTAATATTTACCATCCGCCGGACATGCTCTGCAGTGCTAATACTTCCAACAGTATTGACACATCCCCCCTTTTCGGATGCCCTCATCTTCTTAAAATTTTCGGATTTGCCCTTGAATTCTGGCGAACCCCAATATGTACGAAGTTCGCCAAAAACCTCTACGCCTATCCAGTTAGGACGGATACCATGCAGCTCATAATTCTCCCTAACCCGCCGCATTATATCAGAAAATCTTCTAGAAGTTCTGCTATAATAGATTTTTTCCATAATTTTCTCATTCAACGGATCCCACACACATTTTTCCTGCAATGTTGTATGACATTAAAATAAAAATTTAAGTAATTATCATTAAAATGTGACTTAAATAACAATACTAAAAAAATATATTAAATTTACAACTTAAATAAATAACAATACCTTAAATTTTTTAAACCATTCTTCTTTATTTGTAACCTCGCCAAAGTTCTTCCAAGAGGACTTATACATCTGCTGGATTATATAATTAATAACCTTGGCAGCCGTCCGACTCGGCGCGAAACTAAACAACAAGATTTTGAATAAACAATATTAATTATAAATTTATACAAAATATTAAAATGAATATGTACTTAAATAAAAGTTTATATAAGAAACTTACTTGCTTCCTTCGGGCCAAATCCAAAACCTCCCGTCAATGACATGAATCTCACTCGGATCATCTGATCTCTCACGAATATCAGCTCCATCTATATCATCAGCTACGACATCTGCATCACCGTCAGCCTGTGTAGGACGTGGGGTGCTGGATCCTGCAGCCTGTGTGGGATGAGGGGTGCGTGACCCTCCAGTCCGTCTAGGACGTGGGGCGCGGGATCCTGCAGCCTGTGTCGGACGTGGACTGCTGGGTCCTCCAATGTGTGTGGAGTGTGGGGTGCTGGACCCTCCCGCCTGCTGGAAGGATGAAGACATCTGTGTGGGTCCCCCTATCTGCTGGAATGATGAAGGCACGCCAGTCTGTATAAATGGAAAACTGGGTCCTCCCCCCGTCTGCTGGAATGATGAGGGGACACCAGTCTGCTGGAAAGATGAAGGCACCTGGGTCGGTGGGAAAGGGAAACTAGATCCTCCCGCATGCTGGAAGGAAGATGGCATCTGAGTCTGTGGGAAAGGAACACTAGATCCTCCCGCCTGCTGGAAGGATGACGGCATCTGCGTCGGTGCGAAAGGGAAACTAGATCCTCCCGCATGCTGGAAGGAAGACGGCATCTGAGTCTGTGGGAAAAGGAAACCGGGGCCTCCAAGTGGCACAAAAGATGCAGGTACCCCAGACGGGAATGTATGGGAGGAGAGTAATGGGACAAAACCCTGAGTACTGGCCAGGGACATAGGATCAACTTGACTCTGAGGGGGTGGGCACATGGCTGAGTGAGGAGACTCACATGTTACTACCCTCGGACGCTGAGACTTCTTACCGGTATCCTTATTCTTCGGTGGCATTTTACCTAGTTATATATATTTTCATAAACAAAGATAATAAAGTCATTGACATAAATATATATTCATTGACAAATTCAATATATACATGTTCAATAG